GGCTTTTCAACTTGACATGTGGCTGCTTCCCCATGCCAGCAGACATTCTTTTTTTTGGTACTGGAGATCAAACCTAGGACCAGCAGACTTTCTCGCACAGCACACACTTTAGAGAAGAAGCTCCAGATGAAGCCTGCACTTTGTGGAGCTCGTGAGCAGAGCTGTGTGTGCGCACATGGCATCAGTGTGCACTCAGAACTAGCAGAGCAGGGAGCTAAAGAACCGATTTCCAGAACCGAGCGTTACAAGGTGAAGATGCTGACCAGAAAAGGAGGGAGAACAGTGCAGGAGAAAGCACAGTGTACAGCTGTGTGTGGAAGGGGAAACCAAGACCCGTGGGGAGCTGCAAAGTGTTCCAAATTCCTAGGGCAAAAGCTGCCCTGGACATAGTGGCCAGAGACTGCTCTGGAAGACAAGCAATTTGCTAGTGATATATATGACTGGAAAAGCAGAATTACCAAAATTTACAAAAGTGACACGGATCTACCAGAACCAAGCTTCCACCTCTACAGAATAGGCAGAGACAAGACTGTGCCAGTTCCTGCACAGTAAGACTTCCCAGATAATCTTAAACATTCCAAGCCTGGGCAATTAAGTACACCACCCCTGTGCAGTAAATACGAAAATGACAAAATCCAGTCTGAGATGCACGCTAAGAAAAGCTTTAAAAATGTACTAGTGAGCCGGGGAGATGGCTCAGTGGAATAAGCGCTTCCCTGGCAAGTGCAAGGGCCTGAGTTCAATTCCCGGTTCTACCAAAAAAAAAAAAAAGTACTAGCAATGGCTTTGAACCTTTTTAAAGATAAAAAAACAGAAGTCATTCAGCTCCAGAAACTGGTTTTTAAAACATCTTAATGAAGTTAGCTGAAATGGTGGGAGAAAGGGATTGTTTTGTGATGGTATATTCACAAGTAAGCTCTTCATACAACTGAAAAAGACAAATTCAATGTTGGTAATTTAAAGTGAGACTATCCAGACACAGAAAGCCGCAAAGATGAAACATTATTTACATGTAAGGTTACATTTTTTGTAACGTTAAGTATCAATAAATTGCAACTAACAGACACCCAGAGTGGATGACCCCTCCAGAATATTCACAGGGGTGCAGAACTATTTTCTATATTTTAATGAGGTTAATGAAAATTGCACATTTCCAATATTTCCAATAACATGCAACATTTCTTCCTTTGTTTTGGTTAGGTCAAATCAATGTGATAGCCCACTAAAAGGTATGTTACACATGAGCTGCAATAATATTTGTTTCTTTAAAAATCAGTAAACAAATTATTCATTAATATAATCTATGGATATAAATAAAAACATGGACTCCATGGAAAAAGAAGCAACAACATTAAAATGCTTCTTTAGAGTAAAAATAATGCAAAAATAACTCTGAAATAACTCAGGTGCTGGTATTAATCTGCTTTGTAAGTACAATGTAACACAAACACAAGAACACCCTGAAGTTTCTGCCATGACTCTCACTTACCAGTCCTTCTGCTGCATTCTGCTTCTCAGCTATTTTATTATCCTTTGTGCAGGTGTCTTCTGAACAGAAACTGCCCTCAGGTCTTTGATTTAAAAGGGAAGAGGACTTCTTATTTTTCAACAAGTGTTTCAAAAGTTCATTCCCTGAATCTGCTTTGGTGACAGGGGCCCCAACAGAATGGGGCGGACTCTGAACTGAGGGGACAGAGCCAGCCTCAGATCTGTCTTCCACCTTAGTGCCAGTCTGCTCCTCTAATTTAGTTTCCTCTTGACCCTGGGCTGGTTCTGTCACAGCATTTTCCAGTTTTAGCTCTTCACTTTTGGAAGGGGTTTCCATGGGAAGGTTTTCTGTCTCTGAATTTGCACCAGCCTGCTGCTTTGGAGTTCCTTCGGATAACTCACCACTGGGAAGTGTGTTCTCTAAGCTCGTGCATGGCTGGGCAGCTGGCTCCGCAGACTCCGCTGCCGCCTGCAGAGGAGGTTCGCTGGGCGTGCTCACAGAAGGAGTGGAGGTAGTTTCTGAGATGCTTGGAGTAGGGGGAGCAGTGCTATCTGAGTGGGGAGTTGACGGTGCTTTGGTGGATTCCACATCATCCTCTTTTTTCTTTTTTCTTGTTCTTTTCTTTTTCCCTTTCTCTTCTGGGATGATATCAGAATATAACTGAATGAGAGACTGGGCTGATCCATAACTTTGTCCAAGGGCTAATGTAGGGTCCTGGCCACACGGGAGACTGCCGTTAGCTACTGGTGGTGTTGCAGGTAAAGCGGGTGTATAAGGAGGTCTCACAGGAGACTGCTGGAAACCTGTCCCAGAAAGATTTCCATGTGGCTGTTTAGTAGAATGGAAATTTGGACTTCCTCCAGGGACAGATGGTGAATCGGGAACAAAAGAGGTAAGTCCTCCTTGCCTCCGATCATTCGTTTGCATGAAAGTTTGGGTGGGGGTTGAATTAACAGATCCTTGTTGTACATTTTGCTGCTGTAGAACATGGGCCATCTGCTGCTGTTGGTGCTGTGGAGACTGCTGAAGAGGTGGTGGAGGCTGCATGAAATCACAAGGCCGATCAGACCCATAGAACGGAATCTGAGATGCAGCAGTCCTGCCACCCAGCTCTGAGCCCACCAGGCCATGCTGCTCCAGTTCCATCCTCTGCTGCAGAGCCCGCTGTCTGTCTACTTCGTGCATCAGCTGGATGCGCTGTCTTTCCTGCTGTTCTCGTAAACGTTCCTTCCGTTCCCGTTCCTGGAAACTTTCACTAAAGGGGTTGTTATCATCAAATTCTACACGTGGTGGTGGGCCACTCTGTGGGTTTGCATTTGACACTGTGCCAGGGGCTGGTGTGCAAGCTTTTACAGGTAACTGGGCAACTGGGGGCTGCATCCTGGGAGGATTGAGGGGGAGGTGAGCAGGGGCACTGGCAGACTGCCATCCAGGTAGGCCAGGTATTCTAGCAGGGCTGGTGTGGCCAGAGATGACTGCTGGGCGCTGCTGCTGCTGCAGCTGCTGGGGGCCCATGGGAAAGCTGGGCTGGCTCATGGCGGGGGGGGCGGCTCCTGGAACGAGGGGCGTCTGGGGCTGGACACCAGGCACTAGGAGAGGTGGGGCCACTGCACGCTGCTGCTGCTGCTGCTGCTGCTGCTGCTGCTGCTGCTGCTGCTGCTGCTTGATCCGATAATCTTCAATCAACTCAGCATGTTCTTTCTGTTGTTTACGAATCTGGAACAATGACATGACTTGTTTATATGTAACACAGGTATCAAACCCAAGGTCTAGCTGATGCTTTTGGTGGGGTTCTACAGAAAGAAGTTAAGTGTACTGTAGAAGGAAAGCAGTTTGAGGTAGTGGCAAAAATTACAAAGGTGGATTGATAAGCTGTAATTAATTCTTAATTAATTCATATATGAAATATCAAAAAACTCCCAAAATATTTCTTAAATTTAAGTATTAAGGAAGTCATATATAATTTAAATTCAACATCAAAAATACAAACACAGGAAGCAGCAATGAGGTGTTTATTATACATCAATAAACAAAGACTATACAGAAAGCAGCTATGGTGCAAAGTTACATTAGTACAGAACATCAGGATAACATGGAACAGTTTATTTATACATAGTAAGACTTTCTTTCTTTTTTTTCAATGTATTTGGTACAGGGTCTCACTACACAGCTTGGACTCACAGTGATCCTCTCCAGCACTGGGATTACAGGTGTGCCACCACACTATGCACCATCACACTCAGTTTTGGTGGTGGCGCGGCGCACCCAGGGCAGAGCCAGTATGGCATGCGGTACTGGGAATCGAACCCAGGTCCGTGCACTTGCCCAGGCAGGCACTTAGACTGCTGAGCTATCTCCACAGCCCAGATTTCATTTCGTAAATAGATAAAATTCTTTTTTTTTTTTTTTTTTTTTTTTTTTTTGAGGCAGAGTCATCTTATTATGCAGTCCAGGCTAGCCTTCAACTTACTACGCATCCTAGGCCAGCCCTGAACTCATGGCAATCCTTCTGCCTTAGCCTACCAAGTGCTGGGATTATAGGCACGGGTCACCATGTCCAGCAAAAACCACACATTTTCAAATGAATCAGCTGTTAGCAAAATTAGCCACTAGCTTTATGCTAGACTACCACCTTATGCTAAAAAATGATTAGATTTATGAACTCTTTGAATTTGATGGGTATCATACTAACTTATGAAACCTATGCAAGCTCTAAGGTAGTATTTTAAATAGTTTCTCAATAAGCTCTTAATAAAATGCTAATGTCAACGAATTCATTCCAAAAATATTGTGTCTCAATATGCCAGACATCATGATGGCATTAGTCAAGTGATCTGCGTGCTCAGGCCCTCACTGTTGCATCCAGGACGCTGCAGAAGGAAGGGTGCATAACCATCTCCATGTCTTCCAAAACTGTTTGTTTTTTGGGATAAATATACTAACATGCTGCAGTGATACAGCAGATTTTTGTTTTTGGCTGCTCCAGGCTGGTAAGGCAAGGAGAGCTGGTGATCAAACTGTGGTCCCCTGCGGCTGACTGGCTTTGCCCCAGCAGGCACTTAAACAACTGAGCTACCCCTGCAAGCCCCCAAAGTTGAGAAGGACTTTTTTCCCCCAGCAGTTTTAATATATCGTTTTCCAACTTTCCCTGAGTAAAACTTTTTTTAAATTAAGTGTTTTGCCACTTTTATTACTTTTCTTGGCCGGTTTGGTACTGAGAACTAATGAGGCAGATAACAGATGACTGAGCATCTACAATAGTATCTATGCATCCCGCTAGTCATCCGCTTCTGACATTTCTGACCAGTTTTTTATTTTGTTTTGTTTTGAATGTACTTGCTACAGGCTCTCAATACGCAGCTTGGACTCATAGTGATCTTCCTGTTTTCAGGAATTGGGATTCAGGCACTGGGAATATAGGTGTGTGCCACCAATCGGTGGCCAGCTCAGCACGTCCGCGTTCAGGGCCAGCGCCAGCATAGGACGTAGTGCCGGGGATCAAACCCCCATCCCTGTACTTGCCTAAGCAGGCACTTAGTCTGCTGAGCTATCTCGCTGGCCCATTTCTGACCATTTTAAAAAATGTTCCTGCCACCTACTTTTTTCACCGATACTACACTGGGATTATAGGCAACTGTGTCCTAGCAGAAAATCTGTCCCATTTTCCAGTTAAGTGCCACATTAGATTCTAAGAAGGGTTTGGTTTATGAATATGCAAAACCTGGGCTCTTGTAGGAAAGGTCTTACACAAATACATCAAAAACAGTAAAGTGCTAAAAGTGCTTTATAAAAGTTTCTACTTCTAAAGGAAGTTTTCCTTGCAGTGAAGAGGCCCAAACAGTGAATTTAAAGAGAAAAGCCTCTTGTTCTCAAGTGGGCCAACTTTCAGACATCAGGTTATAATCACATTGCTGGCATGTTATTTTGTTTGTGTGGCTTGTAGGTGAAGACATCTGAGTTCAAATTCTCCTTCTAATAGTGAGCAATAAGCAGATATATCGCCTGGCTCCAGAATGGCCTACCCATTTGTTTGTACACTGGTGACAACACTAATTCCTTCAAACCTTGTAGACTAGGTTCCTAAGACAAAATGGGTGGTCTTTCCAGAGTGCTCATTACACACTCCAGCTTCACTGAGCCAACCTACATTGAACATCCTGCTCTTCTTAAGATTTACATTGGGTTTCTTTTTAATTTAAAAATTCTAATTGATAAAGGGGAAGTCTAATATTTAACACACAGTTCTATGAACTTTAACACACAGGGAAATTACTAAAGTGACCGTCGCAGTCAGGAAAGACAAAAATAGCCTCATCAAGATCATCCTGCATATCACACTCTGTAGTCAAACCTTCCACCTTCCTCCCTAACCCTTGGCCATCAACCATTTATTCATCTTTATTAGCTCTCATTTCAAGAATGTTATGTGAACAGAATCAGTATTTACGCCTTTTGGGGTTGGTTTCTTTTACCTAGCAAAATGCTCTTGGGATCCAAGATATCCGCACATATCAATAGTTCATTGTCTTTCTGTCTGAGTGGTACTCCCTTGTATGGGTATACCACATTTTCTTTAACCACTAACTCTTCCAATTTTGTGGGTGGGAGGTTTTTGTTTTTGAGATGGGGTCTTGCTCTACTTCTAGCATGGTCTTAAACTCATGGGCTCAAAAAAGTCTTCCAACCTCAGCCTACCCAGTGGCTGGAAATGACTAGGACTAAAACAGCGATAAACATTCATGTACCTAAGTTTTATATAAACATAAGTGTTTTATACACTAGAGTAAATACCTAGGAGCACGCTCTGAACCCATTTTCTTTTCTTTTTTTTGCGGAACCAGGGATTGAACTCAGGCTCTTGCACTTGCGAGGCAAGCACTTATTCTACTGAGCCATCTTCCTGGCCCCTCTGAACCCATTTTTCAATACTGCTTTATTTTCAAGGGAATTTTAAAATGTTCTTTAGTTTTCAATATAATTATTTAGTTTGAACATTCTGAGAAACATCTGGTACTGAGATATACTAACATATTATAAAGCCAAAACAGTAAGAGATCTTGGGCAGGCCAGACTTGCAAACAGCCTGGGACCATGGACTTTGCAGAGTGATCTTTCAGGCATAGGAAATACCTAATTTTCTCTTACGATACCATGGTTGCTGAAGAATATGACTACGTTCTCCTGAATCAGGAATCTGAGGCTCACTCAATCCCTATAGTGACCTCCAGAACTTATGTACCTGCTGACTGCTGGGAAGAGGGCAGGAGTGCTACCTCTCCAGTCTTGGGAGCAGTGTGCTTCTCTACGCCACATAACATTGACAAACTCTGGTGTCCTTAGTGAGTGACACACCACACATCTCACCTGCTGACTGCTTGTGACTTGTAGAGCCACCTCTTACCTGTTCTAGCTGTTTCTGAACCATGCTCTGCTGCTCAGTCACGTGTTTAAGCTGTTCTGCATCTTCTTCTGGGAATTCTCGCCCTGCCTTTTTGGCAGTGCGCTGTTTAGCTGAAAGGGCCTTCTTGGATTTTCTGTGTGCGCCAATCTGTTCTTCAAGATACTTCTGCTGCATCTGAAGGAGCTGCTGGGTCTCCTGAAGCCATTCTTCGTATTGCTTGCGCTGTGAGTCATCTAGGGAGAAAAATCAAAAATTCATCTGTGTTAACTTTCTGAATAGTCTAAGATTCCTACAGAAATCCATTTTGTAAGGCAATACAATTTCACCATGATGCTTAATAGAAAACTTGAAAGCAAAATTCTAAACATCAGATCATATAAATATGAAGTAGCAGATTATCAAAAAAAGGAAAAAAAAAAAAAAAGAAAGCCAGCAAATGCATACTTAGGATACTGGTTAACTTAATACTTATAAATACTAAATATCCAATCTTTGAGAGGCAAAAGACTTATCTAATAAAATGCTTTTATATCTACAGAACTATCAAATCCTCTAACCACAAACCAAAGTACATATTAAGTTATATGTGTACTTTAATATGTCCACTTCACAGATTTTAAAGAAAGTAAGGGATATCAGGTTCAGAGCATGGATTGGATAATCATTTCCCATGCTAATTTCCCTCAATTTACAAGATTTTCCCAATTTCTCACTAGTGAAAAAACATATGAAACAGAGGGAAGGAACCCAGAACATTTTAGGAAGAACCAATTTGAAGTCTGGAAATCATAAAGTAAATCTGCAAATTGAAAAACTGGTAATTTTAATTAATTTTGTAATTTGTATTTCCATAAACAAGGGAAGGGAACAGTAACCCAATAAAATATTTTCTACGTCTACACCTGCTGCCCGTCTCCCCAGTCACACCTCCTCATCTCACACCAACACCCCCTACTATTTTCTAAGGGCACTTTACTCCACTGATGCCAAGACCAAGAAAAGGGGTCACCTCATACTGTGAAAAACTCAGAATATTCCTTTCTGACTCACTACAAGACAAAGAAATCAATAAATACAATCCTAGAAGGACATCAGCTGAAAATAACATCAATGATAACAGAATATTGTCATACATTAAGAATCCGATCAAAGCCAATGGGCACAATTAAGCCAGAAAAAGCCAGTTGGTTAGAGTAGTTTACTTATTTTTAATGCAAATATGTATTCAAATTACAATCAGAATTAATGTAGGGGAATTTCAAAAGGTTAGACTTTGGGTTTGTTCCTAAACCCAGAAGTTGCAGTACACGTATGAACTTGAAATCTAGTCTACTAAATTTGAAGGGCATTTTTCAAGAACAGGCTTTTTCACAAGGTTCAGAAGTTCTGCTTCTGGTAGAATGAGACCTACCGCAAGGAAAGCCTTTCTGGTTTCTGGAACCAGGAGAGCAGAGGTGAGCAAAATGAAAGATAACGGTGAAAAAGTTAGCTAAACAGTCTGAAGATTTCAGAAAGGTGCAGTTTGGGGAGAACTTTAAATACTATCCTGAGCCACCTTGGGACCCCTGAGGATAACCAGAAAGGGCTCGGTGGGCTCCTGCGCACTCGACCTTCACACCATGCTGCAACCCAACTCCTTTCTTTTCCCTTTGGTTTTCCCATCTGCTGTCCTTGTCACTTACACTGTCATGAGAGCAAAAAGTGGTTTGATTCTATAGATTGTAAAGTGCCCAATCTATAAACAAAAACGACTACAATATTGAGGAGAATGGGGAAGATGAATTTTCTGTATTAAAATACAGATGTCTAATTCTTCATGCAGAGTGAAAAAAAGCAAGGACAAGACACATGCCTTGAAGAAGAGCTGCCTACCAGGGCAGGGCACGGCATGGGCGAGGGCACTCAGGCCTAAGGCGGCACTCCCGAGCTATGCACGTGCACAGAACACCACAAGTACAGCCAACATTATCCCCAGAGAACAGGTAACTTATTAGATTTATACTTACTGACAAAGCCTGGACCAAAATTTGGAGGATTAGGCCTAGAAATCTGATGTGTTATACTGCCATCCTAAAATAAGTAAAATTTACAAACATGTTTAATTGCACACTTCAATTAAGGAAGTAAAATAACTTTAAAAGCAGCAAAAAAGAAATAGGAAAAAAAAAACTAATCAAGTTTTGATTTTATAAAAAGACTAAATGAATTAGTGAGTTAATAATCTAATTCATGACGATTTATTTCTATCTCTGAACTAGATTTTAGATGAAAAACATGTATGCTTAAGATAAAGAATTATTCAACTGTAATAGGCCAAATCAAATGCTGTTTACAATAACCTAAAGGTAAAGACTTGTTCATCTCAATTCCCTGACAACCGCTTATTAAAAATAATTTTTGAACAGTTTACCCAGTTGCTGCAAGTTCTGTTAGCCATGAGCCGTATACAAGGTAACACAGTGCTACTGGTCAGTGGGACATGCACACCTGCAATCCCAGCACTAGGGAGGCTGAGGCAGGAGGGTTGCTACTTGAGTTCAAGGCCCACCTGAACTACATAGTAAGACTCTGGTTTAAAAAAAATAAAGGAAAAAAAACCCCTATCACTCAGAATGTATTATGTACGATCTATATAATACTGCAGTCATTGGTGTAACATCTGGCCAATCAGAAAACAGAAGTTAAAGAACTGGCCAAAAGTTTCACAGTATATTCAAAGTAAAACTTTAATTTTTTTTTTTTTAACCTCAGCTACAAAGATAATACTTTGCCCCAATGTATCAAATGGTGTCTCTTTTTAATAAGGAAAAAGATAACATTAGCATAATATGTCTACAGTTTAGCCAGCAGAATAAAAGAGAAAATTTCAAAAGATACATAGTAAGTAGCTCCTTTTTCTTAGAAAGGTATTTTTTTTTAGAAAGGTATTTTTTTTCAGAAAGGTATTTTTTAAAATCATTGTATACATATCATATGAAAAGAGCATTTCTATGTCCCCAGACAGTGCTCAACACCAAGATTACACCATATTTATACTGCTTAAAAATGGTGAATGTCCAAACACTTAAGTTATGTTGAATAATAAACAGAACACGACTACATGTATCTAAACTGGGTAACTATAACCATTATTTTCTATGGAGTGTAGCAGTTTAATGAATTCCAAAGTACAGAACATGAAATGTCTTTCTGGAGGATGGATGGATGGATGGATGGATGGATGGATGGATGGATGAAAAGCCATCCACTAAGCACTAAGCATTTGGTTTCCCTCCAAGTGACTTTCTACCTTTCACTGTACAGGTAGTTTCTAGGAATTATAGCCAATCTTTCTTAGTTTCAATTTGCCCTTTGTTTAAAAAGTAATAAAACGTATCTTTACTTCTGCTGCACTGACAGTGCATTCTGGCAGTGCTCTGGGACTGCTGCTTCTTCCTGCCAGGGGCCTCTACAAGACTGGCTCATAGGAAACAGGACAGCACGTCCTCCAGGGTGACTGACAGGAGCAGTGTTACCTGAGCGATGGCCTGTGGCACGAGTGTCTGGCCTTCACTGTTCTGTGCTCCAGCCACCACCGGGCCCATGAAGGGGAATCTGTGAGACACAAGACCAGAGTATCAGATGGTGAGCGCTAGGTCAAAATTATGTTACGTGCTGTTATAGTTTATGTCTAGCTGTCCCCACCAAAGCCTCATGTAGTTGTGAGGCAGGCTTCTAGAGTTTGTGATTAATTCAAGATCCAATGCTGTTCCCTTGCCTAAAATACAAAACACAAAATCCGATGCTGGTATTATGGGTGTAAGTGCTGCTGTGATTATGGGTGTGAGAGCAACACTTGCCCTGGGACAGACAGCGTGAATGCTATACGAGGAAGGCAGAGAGGCTTGCCCCTGTGCTGCTGCCATGCTCCTGTCTTCTGCTCCTGCTGTTTTCCACCACCATGAACAGCTGCCCTATGTACCACTCTGCCTTGGAGTCAGCTGAGCACGGACTGAAACTTCCACAAACTGTGAGCTAAATAAACTTATCCCTCCTTAATTTTGGTCATCAGGTATTTTTGTCCCAGCAATGAGAAAGTAACTAAGAGAGGTGCGTACCAATTTTCTCTCCCACAGAAGAATAGCAGCAGGGGCAAGGCCTCCTCCTCAAGAGCATCTATAAAGCCTGCCTCTGTACCACAGACCTGCCCCTCCCCCTCCAGGAAGGGCAACTGAGGCTGAAGTACTTCTCTCCACAAGCAGCAGCAAGGCCATGAGGACAAGTCGCTTCAGCTAACTTGTGAGGCTGGGCTCTTACAACACTGACTTGACTTTAAAGTGAAATAATGAACCTCTAAGCTAAAAATGTAAGTGAAGATTTAGCTTCATTATGTAAACTAGGAAAGTCAGAAGCTTAGTTACTTTACATTCTAAAACTAAAGGTGCAATTCAAGAAGTAACATATCTAATGGGAAAGCAAATCTGAACTCATCACTGGCCCAGCGCTACAGTTACAAGTATCAGATGAAATGTTACCTATTCTAATTAATGCTATAGAAAAACACTTAACAGACAATTAGGGCTTGTACAAAGGTATTTATTTCTTCTAGAATCAAATATT